TCAAAGGATAAATGCTACCAATTCTCAGACTTTGCTTTCCCTCCCCAGCCAGCAGAGAGATGGAAAACATTCCATACCTCATAGTCGGGGTTGGGAACGGGGGGAGGACGCTGCATCTTCTGACCTGCAACAGAGGCACAGAGAGGTGATCCCTGGGATGATTCAGGTAACACAGCACGAGGGACTTCCATGATGATCCCAGGGCAGTGCCATGAATCCACAGGTCAATTTGCATGGCTTTACTATGAGCTTAGAGCTTTCAAAGAGCCAACTGCTGCCAGGAGCATCTGCCATGCAGGGTTGGCTCCAGCACAGCAGGGAAACAGGTTCTTACGGGCAGGAGGTTTGGCAAAGCAGCTGTTCCCATCCCATGCACAAAGGCAGGTGTGGGAAGCAGGAGGTTGTTTGGTAAGGTCTTGGAAGCTCAGGGAGAGCAGAGGATGCTCCCTCCCACAGCGGGAGCTTCATGTAGTGTCCCGTGGCCACCACGGAGAGCAGAGATGCCTGAAGTGGCTCTTACCTCGTGGCCGAGGGGCAGGACTGGGGCTTGCTCGCCCCTTCCTGTCTTTGCTGAAGTAGTAGACCAGGATCAGCACCCCCAGGGTGATGAGGAGATCCGCAGCAATGATCCCTGTGACCGTCAGGGTATCCAACTCCTCGCAGTTGGCACACACTGCCAGGAGGAGAGGTGGAGGTGCTCAGGGCTGGGCTGCCTTCCCTCCCAGCAGGAAAAACCCAGGCCCCCTCATCTGCTGGGTGCTGGCAGAGAGATACAGCTCTGGGTGGCAAGGAGAAAAGAGCAAGCAGAAAGGAAAGGGGAGATTCCTTTTGCCAAAAATGGGCTCTCAGACCCTCACAGATCGGGAAGGGTCTCAGCAGCACCACGTTCACCCTCAGTGTGTCAGAAGGAAGAGGAGTCTTCCCGTAAAAGCACCAAGTGCTGAAGAATTTACTATGTTTTCAGGTAATCTCTTCCACTTGGTGTTTATTTTTCTTCGCTGTTTGTGCTCAGTTTTTAATTTGTTGGCACATTTTCTCTCTTTGTTTCAAAGAGCTGCACAATTCCCAGCACAAACTGCTGGGCAGTGCCTTTCCCTCCCAGCCTGCTGATGGGGAACTTCCCTTAGGAAAACAGTGGTCCAGGAGACTCAAATATACAGTGGAACCAGCAGATTTGCTTGTCTAAATGCAGGTTTCTGGTGCCATTTGAGTTGCCTTTAAGTATCTAATCTGAGCCATGCAGGCTTTAGCCCATGGACTGAGGAGTTTCTCTCACCTCTGGCATTCAGGTACAGCTCATGGCTCGTCCCACTGGAGTCAGAAGAACAGCTCAGGTTGGCAGGAGAGCTGTCGTGGTCTGTTATAATGTACTTCCTCTCGTTGCTGGTGCCTGCTTTTCCCCCAGTTGACTTCCACACTATGTCATCCTCGGTCAAGGGACATGTGATTGTCACCGTGGTGCCCGAAATCTCCACCAGGAATTCTTCACTGGCAGACAGGCCTACGAGAAAGGAAGCCAAGGGGAAAACTCAAATATTCCAATCTGGTTTTCAGTCCTCAGCCATGAGGCTTCTGCAGACTTTATAATCATATAGTTAAGAATGTTGTTAAAATTCATTTACCCTCCTGTGCTTCACCTGCAAAGAGAATAAGGAGTGTTAAAAAATCAGCTACTTGTTGCTGTTGGAAAAACCCAGCCCTGCTTGGGAACCACTGGTAATAATTAAGGGCAATTTATGACAGCCAATTTTTCCATCAGCGAGATCACTATCGATTAATGAACAGAAAATTTTTCCCATTCTACAATGTTTTCAGAATTCAAATATTTCTATTTGACTTTTAGTCCCTTGTGAGGCGTATTTGGTCTTTTGATCACACTAAGTAGTTAAGAACAATGGTAAAATACAGTTACCCTGCTGAGCTGTGGTGCCAACTACAAAAGAAAGAATAAGAAGTGTTAAGTAGTTGAGTTTAGCTACTGATATCGTACACCTTTCCTACTTCCAGGGTATCCTTTCTGAACTCAGCTGCTTGAAAGAGATGTTTATGATCCTGTATTCATGCTAAAGGCAGCAGAAATATTCTGTTTGTGGCACAGGATGTTGTTTTGAAATTAAGCCTTTTCCCTTGGAAGCCATTTTTAACACAGACTAACACAGAATGGAAACTTGAATCATTTTCCAACCCAGTTTAGAAAAAGGGTTCTTATTGCAAGCTGTGCACCTCAAACTGTGCCTTATTATCATGGAGCAAAGACTGCTGGAAAATCCTCCCTGGTTTCTGCAGTAAGAACCTCGTGAACTCACTGGAGGTGGGACCCTGACCCTTGATTTAACACTGTAAAACAGTTTATTTTGGTGATTTTTCTGTCCTGTAGGAAACAATCAGCTCCATGGGAGTCTCTGGAGCTGGAATATTAAAGAAACCGTTTTTAGGAGGTGTGGATCAGACTTGTGATTTCCTTTAAAGAAGTTTGTCAATAGAAAGTAAGGTAAATAAATAATCATAGATTTGAAATGCCACAAACAAAGGACTTGGCTGGAGAGAAGGTGATCTGATGCTTTTTTCTTTATATAGGTGAATTTAAATTTGAAAAAAGAACAGGCCATTGCTAAACCAGATGTTTTCTACCTTCTCAAAGGTTAGCAGTTGGTATTTGCAGCACATTGTCAGAGTAGTTGTAGTTTTATTGTAGTATGTCTTAAGTAATTATCTTCCAAACTCATCTCATTGTTACTGGCTTTTTTTAGAATCTTTACAGATCCTCTGCACTTCATCCTAAAGCAGCTGCTCCATTCAAACTGGTAAGGTGGAAATTCCTACCACACAAGGATATCCCACCAAGTCTGAACTGAAGTAGTTACCCATGAACACAAAATGGTTTAAGAAAAGTGCATGAAGTGGATAAAGCATAAAAATGAAACTAAGACAACAGAACCTCAGAGATCGCACTGCACGAAGCTCCAACCCTGCTGCCTGAAGTTTGGAGATCCAACCCTGCTGCCTGAAGTTTGGAGACTCACCTGCCCAGAGCAGGAGCCCCAGGAGAGGCCAGGACGGCTCCAACCTCATCCTTGTGTCCCTGCTTGTCTTGCTCTTCTCTACCACATCACACGGGCATCGCTGCGGGGCACGACGGGGCACGGCGGCTCTTCAAGGCCCTCTTACAGGAAAGGGGCCCAGGATCCTTTCCCAGAATTGTCCCCAGCAGTGCTGGGGGGACTCCCCGTTCCCAGGGACACGAGAGAGCAGCCGAGGCAGCCCCGGGACACGTGTGGGGAAATGAGCCCAGGTCAGGAAGTGCAGAGGCTCAAAAGGTCTGCACAGGACGTCACTGCAGCGAGGGGTGGCTGCTCTGCACCAGCCTGGCCAAGCCCCAGGACAGCTCTTGGAGCTGCTCTGGGAGCAGCAGGAGGAACGAGCCGGGATCAGATTTGCCATCAGAACCTTCCTGGCAGCTTTTGGGAGTGAGTGTCTCTGCAGTTCAGGCTGCTGCAAACTTCACAAAGAACCATGGAATGGTTTGGGTTGGAAGGGACTGTAAAGACCGTCCAGTCCCACCCCCTGCCATGGGCAGGGACACCTTCCACCAGCCCAGGTTGCTCCAAGCCCCGTCCAATCTGGCCTTGGACACTTCCAGGGATGGGGCAGCCACAGCTTCTCTGGGCAACCTGTGCCAGGGCCTCCCCAACCTCACAGGGAGGAATCTCTTCCTCATATCTAATCTAAACCTCTCTTTCCGCGTGGAAGTGGCCGGGCCCCACTAGAGGGGGCTCCTGCCCCGGTCAGGACTGCAAGGAGGGGACGATCCCTCCAGACCCGGGCTGGGGGCAGGCACAGACCGCCCATGGCACCGGGGCAGGGGGATCTCAGAGCTCCTCTGCTGTGCTGGGAAGATTTTGAGAAACTCATCTTTCATCTCGTTCCTGAGAACCCGAAGGAATTTCCCTTTCCAGCGGGGATGCTGGCACGGACACAGCGGGAACACTCTGCCTGCCCAGCTCCCTCTGCTCCACGCCCACAGAGGAGGCAGAGCTGCTCCAGTGTGGGGAGAATCGTGGGGATTTGGGGGCACAGGTCCAGGGCAGACATTCCAAGTCACCCAGATCTCTCTCCTTCCACAGGGCTCTCCGCGTTCTGCACCTGGCACACACCTCGAGGGACTCCTTCCCAGACGCCTGGAGGATGGAGCTGGCTTCTCACCCCTTCCCAGGAATTCACCATTTACTGACATGGCTAATCCCAGTGTCATTTATTGGGGTGCTCTCTTTGGTTGTCAGAGCTTTCTTTTAGTTATTTCAGTTTCAAAATGAAACATCAGATAATTTAGGTTGCTAGTGAGTGTGAGAGGGACATGTTTGAAACAAGATGAAGATTATTAAAAGTCTGCAAGTAAAGATGGGAGCAGACCCTCTTCCCAGTCCTGTGCAGAAATAGGAAGTGAATGCAAATTGGCTGCTAAGGAGCTGCCTTGCAGTGCTTTAAACACAACCAGAACAATCCCCCAGCCTGATGTTTATCCAGGGTGGCAATGAAAGAGAAGGAGATGATGTTTTGGAATGGCAACTGAATGGAAATCTGGGGAGATGCAGTGATGAGGGGTTAATACAGGGCCAAATTATTCCCGTGAAAATAGAGATACTTGGTGTCTCAGAGCCATTAGCAGAGGCGTGTTAGCAGGCACAAGAGTCTCTGTGCTGTACTGTAGGTATCTGTGGGACACTTCCATCCTCTGGATTTGTGCCCACACTGCTGCCACAGTCTGGTTCGAGTTGCTCTTTTTGGACTCTTTTCAGGTTTGGGTTTTTTTGCCAAACAAACGGCCCTCATTCCTTTGAGCCATCTACAAACACCTTCGGGCAAATTTTCTTTTAGGAGCACAGCTACCTCCCACAAGAGGGGAGTGGTTTCAGGTGGAAGCTGGGAGGAGGAAAGGTTGCAACACAAAAGAGCAAAGGAATATGGGAGGGAGAAGAAATTAATCTTACCCTGAGAATCTCCCTGTTTTACACCCAGAAGTGCCTGGTGCTGCCACACCTTCCCACGGTGCCCGGGCAGGCAGTGCTGACTCCAGCACTGGGAGCACTGAGAGCACTCTTGGCCTCGCAGGCCAAGCTGGGAGGAAGGAATTGGCCTTGCTGTGCTGGGAAGACTTTGAGAAACTCATCCTCCACCCAGTTTTCGAGAAGCAGAAGGGAATTTCTCTTGGCACGGGAGCACGGACGGGTGTCCCCGATGCGCGGCCGCGCCTGGGCGGGTGCTGTGCTCGTCCTCGGGGCGCAGCTCCCAGGTAAGGAAAGGAAACCTGCCTGCCTGGCCTCGCTGCCATCCTGCCTCTCCTCTTCCCATCCCTTACATTAGAAGGCAGAGACTTTTCTCCCGTCCTTGTGCTGCGGTTCTTTCTGTCCGGGGTTCGCTGGCGGTGACACGACGTGGTTGAGTCTCTTCTCGGACAGGTTTAGGTGTGTTCGAGCTCCTTCTGAGCTCGGGTTACGACGTCTTTTTCTCTCCTGACGGGAATCTGAACTTTAGTCCAAGACTTTTTTTTTTTTTTTTTTTTTTTTTTTGCTACCTTTGTTCCTAAACAATCAGAGATTGTTCAGGAGCCCCGGGTTCGGATCCTTTACACAGCAACAATTCCAGACTGACAATAAACTCGCTTGAATTTTCAGTGGTTTATATCAGAACACTGGATTTTAAGAATAGCACGTCCTCCTTTCCCAAATGCATCAGCTCATGGATGTAATCTGTCTTGAAAAAAAAGTACTTTAGTCTTATTTCCCACGGTTTTTCTTTTTTAAAGGAGTTTAAAAGATTTGGCACTGAATCTTTGGATGAGAAACATGATCTCTGCCAGTGAAGCTTTTCAAATGTGAATACCTTTAATGTTTTCAAAATATTTCCCCCTTTGAGATAAGAGATTATTTGGAAGGAAGTCTTTGGTTATAAATTACTTTCAAATACGTCTTTATTATAAAGCCAGATTTTACAGCCTTAGATAAGCTTTTTTGGCTTGGATCATACAGGGGCAAGTTAACTTCCTAAAGTGACAGGAAATGATTAATAATTATTTTCTTTTTCACCAGAACTCCTTTGGTTTTCCTATTTTTCATTTTCCTCCTTTCTGTGCCTTGCTGGCACACTTATTTTTGAAGCAGCAGCTGTGCTGGTTTGGTTAACAGAGGATGTTTCTTTGCCACATTTACCTTGAGGATTTCCTCTAGAGTTCTTCAGCCTGACTGTATTTGACCACAGTTGTCCAGCTGGGCTGTTAACCCTCTAACAGGCCCTTCTTCCATCAGTAAGAGCAGTTTTCACCTTGCTGAGAGTACAAAGTGTATAAAGAAAGTTCTAGCATGGGAAATAGCCATTGTTTGCTGGGTCTCAGCAGTCCAGTTTTAATGGCAGGACTGATTTTCCCAAGAAATCTACAGGATCACCCATTGAGGAATTATCTTTGTGCCCCAGACAATTATTTCCAGGGCTAGATAAGGCTCAGACTACACACTGATAAGGAGCAGTGATGAGTTCACACCTCGGCAGTGATTATGGCCTCTCACCCCTCTGTTTTCCCCGCAGCACTTTGGCTGGCAGCAGCAGTGGAAGTTTACACCTCGGAGGAGGTGGTTGCTGTGAATGGCACAAACCAGCGGCTCAAATGCACCTTCTCCAGCAGCAGCCCAGTCAGCTCCCAGCTCTCCGTGACCTGGAACTTCCAGCCCGAGGACCTGAGCTCCCACGAGCCGGTGAGCTGAGATCTTTACTCTCCATTTCACACTGGTTTGCCCCAACAAACCAGTCCCAAGGCCCAGCACTGGGTGAGCCCAGTGGGGATGGGCACCCACATGTGAGACCCACAGCTCTGGGCACTGGGGCCTTTCCTCTGTCACCTGTCACGACTAACCTGAGCAGTGAGGTCTGTTTATAGACCCTGGCTGAAGAACGTTCTCATGCTCAGTTTTGGGTGATCAGGGTTGAACTGTTTGTGGCCTGATGAAGCCATGCCTGCCAACACCCTGCACCCGGCAGGACTTGCAGGGCACAGGAATCTCCAAGGTCCCCCCCAGCCCAGGCCATTCCGTGTGTCTGTGATCCCTGCAGGTGTTTTACTACCTGAAGGAGCCCTACAAGCCGCCCTCGGGGCGGTTCAAGGACCGGGTCACCTGGGATGGGAATGTGGAGCGTAAGGACGTTTCCATCATCATCTGGAACCTGCAGCCCACCGACAACGGCACCTTCACCTGCCAGGTGACCAACTGGCCAGATGTTTATGGCTCCATCGGGGAAGTGCGACTCCGGGTCGTGCAGAAAGGTGAGAGGCCAAGAACCACCCCCAGAGGTCTTGTGAACTTCACCAGTTCCCACGTTTGGGAAAACTATGGTAGAAAAAAATGATTGTAAGTGTAAAGCATGAGGGTGGTTAATGGATACAGAGGAAAAAAGGAGCCTAAGGAAAGGTTCTGTTCACAGATGGAGGTTCCCAGCTTCATTCCTCCTGCCACAGCCCCCCGTGTGTCCCTCTGGTTCATGTCCCTGTCTCTCTCCACGCAGTGAGTTTCTCAGAAATCCATTTCCTGGCCGTGGCCGTCGGATCTGCTTCTGTCCTGATGATCGTCGTGGTGTTAGCTGTGATTATCTGTCGACAGCGACGCCAGAAAGCGCAGGAGAAGAGGACTGGGGCGTCAGACACTGAACTGTGAGGACAGAGGAGGGAGGGAAGGGCTCCTGGGAAAGCTTGTCAAATGGAATTACTGGCTTGGCCCCTGCACTGGGCATCTACAATGCAAAGCTGCCAACACAATTAGCAGCAATTGGCTGCGTGTTTGCAGGCAGAGCAGAGCCCCAGGATGAACCAGCTTTGCAGCCCTCCCTTGGCTCTTGCCCTTCACAGTGGCTCCTCATTCCTGTGGTGGTATTTTGCAGGTGATCCCCATCCCCTGGGCCTGGCACTGTGGTCACCATACGTGTAGCACACCCATCTCACCATGTGACCCCTTATCTGTGCCATGTGTGACTCAGATCCTGCTGCTCAGGGTATCTGACACTCAGTTGGGCTTTTTTTCTTTCCCCCCCACCCTTTCTTTTAATAACAGTAAAGAAAAGGAGAGCCTGAAGATGAGAGAAGAAAAGGAACCCAGTCCATTAGAAGACTAAAGGTCTAATTGGTGTATACAATGCAGGTATCCATCTCTAATTAGTGTCTTGGTGTTACTGGAGACTTTCTAAGACAGATTTCCTCAGGTATTTCACTGCTATTCCCAGTCAACAGGCCATGGGGGCCATAAGCAGAAAGAGCTGAGGCCACAGTAACACTTTGCTGTTGGGGATCCTTCAGGAGAGACTCACAGCTGAACAGGCAGTGGAGAGAAGCTGCCTCTTAACTGTACAAGAGATTTCTCCTCCCTAGTGTCGAGGATCATTTGTAGGAAAGCTGTTGTTGCTGCTTCCCATGGCATTCCTGCTTTGTGGATAAAGAGGAATGAATTAATTTCCTTTTGCCAGTTTTGAATGCTGCTTTTTTACTCATTTAATCTCTATTGTTTAAAAATTGCTGCAGGAAGACTGGAGCTGTTTCCATATTTGCTGGCTTTGCTTAAACATTTCAGGGTAACTTTTACCCGCTTGGTTTCTGAGGTCAGCAGTTGCCTCCATTATTTTTGTTTTCAGCAATAACCCTGAGTAATGAATGTTTGTTTTTCTTTATAACCTTTCTTCTTAGGTACTTCCAAAGCAGATGGTGAAAGCTTGTAATTTGGGCTGTTAGAACAAAGGCGAATTACAGACGCCCCACGCTGTGAGTGTGGTACCTCTGCTCGACCTGAAAGTCTGGCAAGGAAAGAGGGTGACACTGCACGAGTTGTGAATTCCCTTCAGCAAAGCAAAGCAGGAGGAACTTGCCCCACGAACGAGGAACTTCACCTTCACACCCGCGGAATGTGAAGAAAGTTGCTCTGGAGATGAAAAAAATGCCAAAAGATTTGAACAAAGCACCAAGATGTCTGACTGAGCGAGGATTTGGAAGTGTTTGAGCAGATGCACTCTTGCACCTTAAAAATCACAACGTGCCTTTGTGTTGCCCTGTTTTTCCTCCCCTGAGATCCTCCCTGGCATCACGAAAACAGAGACTGACCAGAGAGAGAGCAGAGGAGCAGCCAGTTGCTTCAACAAGTGTACTTTAAATCTCTTTTTTACTTTAAATGGACTGTGTTAGAGCTGGGCAGTGTGTGCTGTTTGTTATTAGGGTAACATTCACCAGTCAGTGTGGTTTCCACATCCATCTCTTGCAGCTTTGGGGGGTTTTGTAACTCTGGGGGGGTTGAGGTCACTGCCTTCTGTGGCTCCCCTCCTTTTCCTTCTCCCACTCCCAGCACTGCCCCGTGTTCCCTTTGGCTCCAGCCCCCTCACCCTTTCTCTCTAAGCCAGGATGCTTCTTTCCCCCACTCAGCAGCCTTACACCCACTGTCATAGGCACCCCAGAATTTTGTCTAGCAGTGTCTCTGAGCTCAGAGACATCCCTGAGCAGGTGATGCTTGGTGGTGTGAGGTCCCACTCAGTGTGGTGCTGCAGCAGTAGGGGATTGGGATTCCAACAACAGCAGCAATATCCCACTTCTTCCAAGTGCTGTTGATTGCCCAGGTGACCCCCACACCTGCGCTCCCTCAGCCCATGCCCTGTACTCACACAGGCTTAATTAAGGCAAAGGAGGCCCCAGCTGGTGGATCCTGCAGAGCTGTAACGGTTTTTAACCAGCCCCAGGTGAAACTGTTGTGATATTTAACGAGCCCCAAATCAAAACAGAGCCCTGTTTGTTTGAAGAGTGTCTTTATGGCTTTATAACCTGTAACGTGCTGGCCACGTTACCTGTCTGGGTGTTCACATTTTCAACCGCCTGTGTCACAAATAAAGGCACTTTGCTGAGAGCCTCGATGGTGAGTAGGGGGGCTGTGACCCGGGACCCCTCCCCCCGGCTCCAGGCACCAAATGAGTGGGTTTGCACCCAAAAAGTGCCGAAGAGGGATTTAGGGGCCGACCCCGACACGGGGCTGGGGAGTTCGGGGTGTCCGGACCCTCCGCTCAGCCCCCGGATCGGCCGCGCGGCCGCCCCAGGTGTGCCCAGGTGGGGCGGCCATTTTGGGGCTGCCCCGCCCTCACCTGCGCCAGGTGAGCGCCATGTTCCGGGGCTGAGCCCAGCAGGGATGCGGCTTCCAGGGGCCGTCGGCTGCCTCCTCCCGCGGGGGGTCCTGCTGCTGCTGCTCGGTACCGGGGCGCTCCGGGGGCTGGAGTGGGATGGGATGGGATGGACTGGGACGGGACGGGACGGGATGGACTGGGACGGGACGGGAGAGGCGCTGCCCGCGGTCCGGTCGGGGAAAGGGGGGGGTCCCGCGTGGGAACCGGGCAGGGAACGACCGGGATGCGGCTCCGAGGGCAGCGGATGCTCCGGGGGGCGGTGGATGGTCCGTGGAGCGGTGGGAGGTTCGGGAAGGGCTGTCTCGGGGCGGTGGGTGCTCCGGGGGATGGTGGGAGGCTCGGGAAGGGCCGTCCGGGGGCGGTGGATGGTCCGTGGGGCGGTGGGGGGCTCGGGAAGGACCGTCTCGGGGCGGGGGTGGCCGCGGGTGGCTCCGGCCGCGCCGTGCGGGGCGCTGGAAACGGCGGGGAATTATAAACCCGTTCCTGCTCCTTCGGAGCCCGCCCAGCAGCGGAATAAGGTGCAACCATAAGGGAAGAACTTCCTGCCCAGTGTTCCCGTCTCCTCCTTCCTGAGCCGGGAGCGGGAGGTTTGGGAAGGGCAGGACGTGAGCGATGCTCCGCTGAGCGCCGGGCAGGAGGGACTGCACACGCTGGAAACGAGAACTGAGAGCACTTATTGCTGCGGGGTGACTCCTGACCCCGGTGCACGTGGAATTCAGGGGCTGTGGCGAGACACACAGAGCCAAAATTGCCTTAAAGTAAAGCACCTAAAGCTGGGACTTTGGAACTCCTCAGAGAGGCATCTGATCCCATTTCTCAGCTCTTTATCTCCACATCTAAATATAAGCAGGCTCCAGCCCTGCAGAGAGTAGGTCATGGGCGTTGTCTGCTTTCCTTCAAATTTTGTTGTGGAGGATGTCATTATTGCCCTGCTTTAGCCTTTGAATTGTTGTTGACCTGCACGTGTGTTGATACTTTTGGGACATCAACACTCCTGTGCCTGGCTGGTAACTTAATCCTTGCCTTTTGTGCCTGTTCCATCAGGTGTCTGCAAGGCTCTTTCCCTGGAAATTAAAGCCAATCCTAAAGTGATAGCTGTCGTTGGTGAGCAAGCCCTGCTGAAATGCTCCTTCAAATCCAGCTCCCCCATCATTGAGAGCCTCGTGGTGTACTGGACATACCGACCCCTCGCTGGGGGCCCGATGGAGACAGTAAGTGGAACAGGGAGTCTGACCAGGCCTCTGTGCTTGCTGAAAATCTGAATTTTCTGTTTGCTTTACTGAGCTGCTGCATCACTTTGTGGTTTGGGACTCATTGTCACCTTCTTTCCTGTGTGAAATTCCTTTGGTGTTCTTTGGGGAAAAATATTCTATGTAAATGCAAAATAGTATAATGATGATAAGGCAGATGAGTTTTGGGGGTTGCTGCAAGTGCTGCATTGTGCACTGTAGTCATAGTATGACTGTGAAGATCTGATTGGTAGCTTTATTTCTCTTGCATAGGAAGTATTCTTTCTGACCTCTTAATGTGTATTCCTTTATGATTTCAGTCCTCTTTGCTTTCTTGGACGAGTGTTTTATTGGCACAACTATTGCCTTTGCCTCCTTTTAGGTTTTCCATTACCAGTCCGTTCCATACCCAACAACAGTGGGAAAGTTCAAGGACAGGATATCCTGGGTCGGGAATGTTGCCAGCGGTGACGCTTCCATCGCTCTCCAGAGCCCCGAGCTGAGTGACAATGGGACGTTCTTCTGCAATGTAAAGAATCCTCCAGACGTGTACCACAACATCCCCCAGACTGTGCTGGAGGTTACAGAGAGGGGTAAGGCTCCATTTCCATGGCTTGGCCTCATCTGTGGGACAGAGCTGCACTGTGGCTTTGTCGGGATCCTGGGAGTCTGAGCATCACGTGGAAAATGTTCCCTGGAATTCCATGTTAAACTTTCAGTAAGAGTCACCTCAGCCCTGCCTTCTCAGCTCAATACATTGAGAGCTATTGAATTTATTTGGGGCAGGAGGGGACAGAGGGAGCTGTGGTGATAACCGAAATCAAAAGTGTCCCCTCTGTTCAGCACTTTCAGCCTCCCCCTATTGCAACGGAACAAGTTAAACGACGAGGAAATATTGGCCTAAAAATAACACCCACATCACAAGCACTGACTGTCAGTAACACTCAATTCCTCATCTGCCCTGCGTGCCAGACCTGCCCCAAATCTGCAGCTCAGGCGTGCTGATGGAACTGTGTCTGACCTGCCTTCCTTTGTAGTTCTTTGCATCTGAAGCGCCCGCCTGGGCTGGGTTTGTGACAGGAGTCCCACAGATTTGGTGGCAGAGATGGCTGTCTCCAATCTGCCAGCTGTGCTTCACGTGAGAAGGCCACCGAGCTGTGTCCTCTGTTTGTCCCAGAGGCTGAGGAGGGCTCTGTCTCCCTTTCTTTCCCTGTGTTTCACTGCTGGAATGCCGGTGTGTCCCCACAGGCCTGTCCTTCCAGCTGACCTCGGCAGCCCTGCTCTCCTTGTCCGTGTTTCTCCCTTCCACCATCGTGGTCGTTCTGCTGCTGGTGAGGATGGGAAGGAAATTCAGAGTGCTGAAGGAGAAAAGGAAAGGTGGCTACAAGAAGTCTTCCATCGAGGTGTCTGATGAGTAAGTTCTGGCTGCAGCCCAAAGCCTGTCCTTCCACTTTGGCCTGTCGGCACAGGCCAGAGGATGGTTCCTCCACTGTCCTTTGTCACACAGTGCTCAGTGTCTGTGGTTCAGTCACTGGTTCTGCTTCTCCATGAGCACCATTCAGCACTCAGAAAGCTTTGGGAGATCCCCAGGCTGGGGCATGAATCACGTGCTGTACATCCCCTTTTTCTGTCATTCGTGTGAGCCACGGAACAGAAGCAGTTCAGGGTTAGCCAGTCTTTCACTTCTGTAATGGGATTTATTTCGGCCTGAGTCAGCAAGATATTTTGCCTACGTGGGCTTTATGTGTTGCATTTTGGTATGAAGTGTCCATAACATCAGAACAGACCCAATAATGCTACCTGGTTCCCCTGTGGTGGCCTGAGCAGAAGTGCCAGGTACTGAAGGAGCCTTGGAGACTGAATTCCCCTCTGCACTGGAGAGGATTCCACTCTGGAAGGGTCAGTAGTGAGAACAGCCAGGTAACAGTGCTGCTGCAGGAGCTGCACCTGGCTTTGCAACCCAGGACTGCAATCCACTGCAGAATGAGGTTTTACTGCTTTGTTTCAGTGTTCTGGTTGGAATTTTGAGATTCCCCAGCCAAATAGCAGCTCTTGTTCTCTTCTTTGTGGCACTGACGTGAAATATCTGCCTTCAGAATGAGGGGCCTGACAGCCTTTATTCTCTTTGGTTTTGCTGTGCAGAATCAAAGGCTTTTCATCACGATGAAAAACCTTTGATTCCGTGTGGTGTAAATAGAATTCAGAGCCTGTAGGACTTATCAGTGTGTTTTGGGAGGAAGAGTCCAATCTAATCCCGTGCCTTTTCTGCAGGCCTGAGCAGACAGAGAGCACGGGCTGCTCCGGGAAACTCAGGGCGTGGTGTCTGAACTGCGTGGTAAGTGAAAGCTGGTGTTTTCACTGTGGTTTTGCCAAATTTGATGCTCACAGGAGGTGCTAAGGAGGTGGAGCTTGTCATAACCCCTCTGGATGTCCAGGAGGTGTCCCAAAGAGCTGGGCTTAATCTCCTTGTTTTGTCTCGAGATCCACCAAATCGATTTTTCGTGTGACTTTATTGAAACCAAAGCTGTGGCTTTAAGATGGAAAACCAGAATTTAAGTGCAAGCTGCTGTGTAGTTTGTCTGAAGGCCCTGCAGGACCAGCCTGGGGGCTGGCAATGCTGTGGTGGGGAAGGGAGGCAGGGACACCCCATGCCCTGTGCTCCTTGCAGAGGAGGTGCAGCCCTGCTGCTCTTCTGGAGACCTTCCTCCTTTCACCCTGTTTACATTGCAACAGAATGTTTCTAAACCCCTGTGGTTTGTTTGTTTCTTTGTGGCTTTTTGTTTGTTGTGCCTTGTTGTGTGTTGTTGTTTCTACCTCTGCTGGTTCCCTTCCTACCCATGAGCAGCTCCTGTGAATCAGGAGCCTTGTGCTGACAGCACTGAGTGTTTTTGCCACCTGCTGCCCTTGTTTTGTGTGAGTGCTGTGTGCTGGGATCAGCAGCCACAGCCACCAGTGTGGCACATTCCAGAGTAATTTGAGTGTTTTCATTTTTTTCCACGGTGTCCTGTAGAGCAAACTTACCTGAGGCACCTTTGCATATCTTATACACAGCCAGGACATATGCTAAGGAGTATTTAAATATGTGTTGCTTCATTCAC